CTTCTGCATGCAATCTGCTGTTTTAGTTGAAATATATGAAGAAAATCCAACCTCACAGACATGTAGTTGGAAAAGAAAAGAGTATTTTAATTAGCAAATGTCTTATTATTATGAAGAGTTTTGACTCAGAAGACCCCCGAAAGGGCCTCAGGGACCCCCAGACCACTATTAGAGAACCATCACCTACTCCATGTCTCCTGACAAATTAAATATGGTTAATAAAGAATCCCACGAGTGAATCTGCACAAAATTAGTGATATTTGTCATTTTTATTACACTTATAAGATCATGATGTGTGCTTGGGAAACTTTATGTTTAAAGTATACTATTAGTAACCAGATCAGAAACTACTTCACTGAGCATCAGCACCTATTCTGAAAGTCTAAGAGAACTGACTAGGACACTATAAAAGTTAAGTGACTTGCCCAGGGTCACATAGTCAGCATGTGTTGCCAAACTTGAATCCTGATCTTCCTGACTCTTTGAGACCAGCTCTCTCCCTCTATTAGGCCAGAATTACCATTTTAGTAAAACCATTCAGGATATACCAAATTCATAAATAGGTCAACAATTCAAATTATCAATCTACAAACTAAAATAGCAGTAAGTAGCACCACCTCTTGTATGAACCTTGTAATCTAGGGTAGCAAAACCTCAGAAGAGCAAAAATAAAAAGATCTAGAGAAAAAGAGGACAATGTGAAACAATACCTATATGGCCTTTATCAATGATTGCAATAGGTATGACACTTACTTTTAAAGTTTTCTCTCCATATTTCAACTCCAGCTAAACAACTACATGTGTATATGTACGTATGTGCCACAAAAATATAAAGGTTGACTCACTGTATGTATCTGTAGGTAAAGTGGGTAGAGCACTAGGCCTGGAGGCTGGAAGACCTGATTTTAAATCTGACCTCAGCTACTTACTGAGTGAACTTGGGCAAGTCATTTAACCTAATTACCTCAGTTTCCCCAACTACATAACAGGAATACCACCTACCTCTCAGGGTTAGTAAGCACTATATAAATGTTAGCTCTTATTACTAATATTCTAATTTCTAGAAGGCTGCATATTGTACTTAAGTTCACTATGCAGGTGTAGCCTCAAAATGGACTTCAGCGACTGACGCACAAAACAGAACCAACTAGGTAAGCCACCTGGAAACAAACTGGGACTAATTAGCAAGGCAAAAGCTATGTTTCTCAACTTGAACTTAATGGCATAATAATATAATAGCAGAGCTTCTAACACATTGACTAATCATCTTGTTGGGAGTCACAAGGTGACACAACGGATACAGTGCCAGGCCTGAAGTCAGGAAGACCCATCTTCCTGAGTTCAAATCTAGTCTCAGATATGTGACCCTGGGCAAATCACTTAACCTTGTTTGCCTCAGTTTCTTCATCTGTAAAATGAGCTGGAGAAGTGGCAAACTACTCTAGTCTCTTTGCCAAGGAAACCCCAAATGGGGTCACAAAGAGTTGGACATGACCGAAAAATGACTTAACTTATTAAACTGCAGCCAATACAAATGTAAGGTTTTATTCAGTTAGAACATACTGGATAAGAGAAATTCCAATGCTGTTACAGATGGCACATGAAGAGCAACAAAACGTATCTGCTGTACGACTTTTGGTTATCTTTTAGCTTCCACAAGACTTTCAAAACATAGTTTTAAAAACTACAATATTCATGTCTTCCTTTTCTCTTAGGGTTTCCTTCACAGAAGCTTAATATTTACAGCATTCTCAAATGGAGTTGAGTAGAAAAACCACATTTCTCAAACAACACTAATTGACCTGAATATGAAAAATATTTTAATGACACTATAAAGAGAGATACTTTTATATTATTTCTAGGGACATTCTCTTTTCCAAGAACCTTAAATCAAAGAATTATACCATAAGTAAAAGCCAATCAATTGTGAACCGATGCAACCATTGCGAAGAGCTATTTAGAACTATGCCCAAAGAGCTATAAAACTGTTCATACCCTTTGACCCAGCAATATCACTATTAGGTCTGTACCTAAAAAAGATCAAAGAGAAAGAAAAAAGGACATATATGTGCAAAAAATTTATAGCGGCTCTTTTTGTGGCAAATATTTGCAAATCGAGGGGATACCCATCAATTGGGGAATGGCCCAATAGGTTGTGGTATGATTGTAATGGAACACTATTATAAGAAATGTCAAGCAGGATACTTTCAGAAAAACCTGGAAAAACTTACATAAACTAATGCAAAGTTCAGTGAGCAGAACCAGGAGAACATTTTATCAGTAACAGCAATATTGTAAGATGAGCAACTGTGAATGACTTAACTATTTTGATCAATACAATGATACAAGACAATTCCAAAGGACTTAATGATGAAAAGTGCTATCCACCTTCAGAGAAAGAAGTGATGGAGTTTGAATGCAGATGGGTTTTTCTTTTATAACATGACCAATAAGGAAATATGTTTTCATGATTTCACATGTATAATCTATGGCAAAGAACTTGCCTTCTCAAGGAGAGGATGGGGAGGGAGAGAATTTGGAACTCAAAATTTTAAAAAACAATTTTAAAATTGTTTTACATATAATTGAGGAAAAAAGAAAATAGAGAAAAAAACAATCAATATTCTCCATTGGAAATACTCATGGGAAAGTTGATACTAGTTCTCCTTTGGTAAGCTAAAAACTTTACTAAATATGTAATGAGAATATAAGCTACAATACTTCAAAACATCTTTTAAGACAAACTCTTTCAAAATGTAACCCTGTGCTTTGGAATGAGATATGACATAGATGCAATGAGCTAATTTGTTTCACCTGACTATACCTATTTGTTCGGAGAAAGCTGGTAGTTAGTGACAGACAGAGGGAGGGAAGGAGAGAGGGAGGTAAAGAATTTTTTAAATATGCCAAAAAGGGCACAGAGACCAAGACAAACAAAACAATTTTGTTATTCTCATATTAAACTTAATACACACTTTAAAAAACTGAATGCAACCTAGGTTCAGTATCATATAGATCCTCTTTTCTGTTCTTCTCTGTATACTGAAATGTTAATTTTAAAAAAAGGAATGTTAATGTTTGCTAATGTTTGTCAGATTCTTATTAAGAAACAAAATTTTAGCAATAAATATTTTACAAAAGTTTCTCAATGGAGCTTTAATAGCATACTATAATAACCAATAAAAGTGTATTGAGTTCCAATACCCTATTTCCCCCAATACCTGTTAGGACAGCTGACTACAGGAAAATTTTCTCCTGAATAAAAGTTGATTTTAATGTAAAAGCAGAAAATGAGCTTAAAAGATCGATAATTATGTCTCTAGATAAGTTAATATCAGGTCTACCTTATCTGGATTGAGATGAAAAGATTTAGCATAAAATAAGACTAAACTATAAAAGAACCAATTTATTTTCATACTGGATTCTGGAAAACCGGAGCCTAAATACCCTTTCCCAGTTTTTTCAAATCATAACATTCATGCTAATTTTCACAACTAAAACAAAGTTTATATATGACATTTTGTCCTCTATTCTGAAAAAAAGATCTGCTGAGATTCTGAGTTTGGCTATCACAAATATTCACCCTTTTAAAAAACTTTTTCCTCAATACTCAATTTGCATGACAATTAGCAATATGATTAGGTCACCTTGAATTCTCCTTTGAAAAGTGTTCCAAAACCCTCAACACTTTTTTCAAAAAATCTTAACACGGTGAGGTCTTCTATTACCCAAGAGATAGCTCCTGGCTTCTAACAGAGACTAAGAGTAAAGAACACAACAATCTTATGGTTGCTTTAAACCATCTCAAACTTCTCTGAACCCACATTACACTCCTAAATTTATCACCTTGTGCTGCAGCCACACAGAGAGCACATGACTACAAGGATTTTCAATATCCCCAAGTCCCTTACTTGGTCCCTCTGATGACGACTGTCCTAAGCTTCAATAATAAGGGGCCTATAATCCCCCTTCGTTTTCCAACCCAACCACCCTTGAAGGAACTTGTATCCCCTTCCTCTGGCTACTGAACATAGTGACAGCATTTCCAGACTGCTCTAAATAAAACCTTGAAGGATGAAAATCGTCCCCTGACCCAAATTACTGTTGCCAGCAGTAATGCAGTGTTCTTTTGGTGGGATTTGGTTTCTCTTTGAGACTCCGAGGGTGCACTTTTCTGCCCAATAACCAACCGACCTCTTCTCAATTCCTTTCATTCTCCAAGATTCCCAAAGTGACTGACACCTCCAGAGTAAGGCAATTTGAAATAGGTAAGGGAGGATGGTCTCTAATTGTGTTCTCTCTTTTTTTCCCTCCACCGAACGACTTCATCCCACCCAACTGACATCCCCCCCCCCCATCCAATGTTTTGCAACTGGGGGAAAAGAAGTTAAAAAATAAAATAAAATAAAATAAATTCAGTCGCGGGTACGAGTTAACAAAAACTTGTCAATTCCGCCGCCGGGACTAGCCGGGGCTGCTCAAGGACGCGCGTGTTTCCTGAGGCCAATTAGAGGGCCCACAACAACAACAGTCGTGGGCCGGGCGGAGCTGGGTAACGCTTTCCACCCCAGAAACGCTCCTGCTAGGCACAGCCCCACGGCTGCAGAGCGGACCCATTTTCCAGATAAAGAAATGGAAACTGTAGGAAAAGGAAGGATTTTTCTGGGAGGGGAGGGCATTAAGAAAGATCCCCCCCCTTTTTTCCTAAGCCTGCCTTCCCTCTCCCGCTCCGGGAAAGGGGGACCCGGGAGGGAGCCCCCGACACCGCCGCGGGCCCTCGCCCGCAGGTCAGGAAAGGGAGGGAGCCGGGGCCCAGCGGAAGGGAAGCGGCCTCGCCTCAGGCAGGGGCGCCAGGCAGCCGGGGGCGGGAGGAGGGAGCGCCGGCCCCGAGGCCTCAAAGGGGAAGTCCCGGAGGGCCGGGCACCGCCGTCTCCGGGAGCCGGCGTGCTAGCAAGGGAACTTGGAGCTCGGACGCCGCCGGCTCCGGGGCGGCTGTTTACCTGGAAGTCGCGGTCCTCGTTGAAGCGGGAGAAGCGATCCGCCATCTTGCCGCCGTGTAGCTCCTCTCCGGAGACGACGACGACGACGAATACGACGCAAGCTCGCTCGCTCCCGCGCTCGCTCCTCCCTCCTCCCCTTCCCCTCTTCCCGGCCTGCTCCCACGCCCGCGGGTCGCCCGCTCGAGCGGGAGCGAGCTCGCGGGCTCCCGTCGCGACGGCACCGCCCGGATACGCGCCCGAGGAGCTCCGGCGGCGCGGTCTCGTCTCCCCTGCCCTCCGCCGCCGAAGCCCGATGCGCATGCCTATTCACATTCAACAGCGATAATTGCTCCTTGAGGGAAAGAGCGGAGGGGAGGAGCGGGAGCAGGTCGAAAGACGTCTACCTTCTTTTGTGTGTGTGTGCGTGCGTCCGTGCGTGCGTGTGGCCGTGTCTGCATATATGTATATACCTATGCACAGCCCCAAAGTGTCTCAGATGTCTTAGTGCGGCTTTAAGCTATTAAACATGAGTTTTTAAAAATTTCATTTATTGTTTCTGTCATGTATAATTAATATAGCGTATTGGATAATTAATAATAAATTGCTTAAAACTGCACTAAGACTTTTGGAACATCATATATACATATATACAAGTACATTGCTTCAAAAGCCTTAGTGTAGTTTTAAGCTAGTAACGCTTAATAATAAGTTATCATTTATAATCTGTTACTGTAATATTATATAATACATTATGCACATAAATACGTTTGTAGGTCATATATTAAATATATTGATATTTTGTATTAAATAAGTTAATAGCAAATGGCTTAAACTGCACTCCCAAAAGCCTTAGTGCAGTTTTAAGCTTCTAAAGCTTAATAATAACAAAATTGTTATTTTATATAATATATATTAATGTTAAATATGTTGCACATATATTAAATACTAGTATGTGTTTTATATTAAATACATTAATGTATTGTATATTAAATATCTTTATACAGTATTTAAAATAATAAGTCAATAACAAGTGGCTTAAATGGCACCAAGACTTTTGGGACAGCCCATATACATTTACACTTACATGTGAGGCAGCTAGGTGGTGTAGTGGATAAAGCCTGGATTTAGAGTCAGGAAGATCAACATTTAAATCCAACTTAAGATACTTGCTGTGTGACCCAGGACGAATTACTTAACCTCTGTGTGCCTAAATGTCTTCCCTTGTAAAATAGGAATAATAATAGCATCTACCTCAGGATGGTTGTTGTCATAAAATGAGATAATACTTGTAAAGGTCTTTGGAAATGTTAAGACACTATGTAAATACCTGTGTTCAGTCCTTGTCCAACTCTTAAAGACCCCATTTGGGTTTTTCTTGACAGAGATACTAGAGTGGTTTGCCATTTCCTTCTCCAGCTCATTTTACTGGTGAGGAAACTGAGGCAAACAGGTTTAAGTGACTTACCTATGGTCACACTAGTGGCTAGTAAGTATCTGAGGCCAGATTTGAACTCACAAAGATAAGACTTCCTGACTCCAGGCCTGGTACGTTATCCATTGCCTTAACTAGCTACCCTACATGTAAATGCTAACTCTTATCATTACATAAAGGGTGTCCCAAAAGTGCAATTTTAAGCTTCAGTAGCTTGGCAGTAAACTTTCTAGGGGTATATGCTTAGATGATGAATTGCCAGAGCTAGCTCAGTGTTTGGAGGCTCCGAAGGAAAGTGTGAGAGAAAAGAGATACTAGGTTGCCTACCAAACTGAGTCTACAGGGTCACTGGGCTGACCTCCTTGTTGTATGGCTGTGAAACCTGACAGTATACCAGTGCCATGCCAAAAAACTTCATCACTTCTACTTGAATTGTCTTAGGAATATCCTGATGATCACCTGGCAAGATAAAGTACTGGATGCTGAGGCGCTTTCTAGAGTTGAACTGCCAAGCATTCAAACTCTGCTGCAGAGAGCACAACTCCCAGTGGTCTGGCCATGTTGTTACAATGCCAAAAGTACCTTTGTCTAAGAATGTTTTTTTATGGAGGGCTCACATAAGACAAGCAGACCTCACACATGAAGCTCAGAAGAAGGAATACAAAGACACTCTCAAGGTCTCTCTGAAGAACTTTGGAATTGATTGTGAGACGTGGGAGACACTGGCACAGGACTTCCCCGCATGTCATGCCCACATCAAAGAAGTATCAACAAAGCATATTTGTAATAGCTCAAAAGAAACATGAGATGCACAAATTGAGAGACATCTCCACTCCAAATGTTCCTTTGGACTATTTGTGCCTGACCTGTGGTAGAGCCCTCCAAGCTCATATTGGTCTGATGAGCTACAATCTGACGCACCGTACCTTGATGCCAGTATAGTGATGTCATCTTGGTCCTCTTTAAGGACAAAGGACAACAACTATTGTGTGTGTATGCATGTATGTATATGGGTGCGTACACATATATGTGTGTATATGCACACATATATGGGTGCATACACATATATGTGTGTATATGCACACGTGTGTATATATACATACATATATTTAAAACACCACCCCTTTTCAGCTCCCTTTTATGTATTATCCTTCACCATCAGAATGTAAGCTTCTCAAGGGCAGGGACTGTCTTTTTGGTGGTTTTGTATCTTTAGCACTTAAGGAGGTGCCTGACACATAATAAAATACGTGATAGATATTTGTTTCCTTCCTTCCTTTCTTTCTCTCTCTGTCTTGTTTGGTCAAGAATTCTTCTCTCTAGAGATGCAAAAGCTATCACTTTTACTGCTCTAGTTTGTTTAGGATATGACTTTAAATATCTAGGTCATGTATCCATTCGGAGCTTTTTGTGATATATATGGTATGAGACCTTGGTCAGCCTAATTTCTACCAGATGGCTTTCAAATTTTTGCCACACTTTTGGTCATACAGTGTTGCCTGAGTAGTTGGGGTCTTACCACTACTAGGCTTATATTGCGAAGAGATCATAGAAAAAGGGAAAAGACCCAGATCTACTAAAATATTTGTAGCCACATTTTTTTCTTGTACTAGAAAACTGGTAATTAAGGAAGTCTCCATCATCTGGGAAATGGCTGAACCAATTATGGTATATGAATGTAATGGAATATTATTGTGCCATAAGAAATTATTAAAAGAATGGTTTTGGGAAAACCTGGAAATAATTGTAACAATAACATTTATATAACATTCTAAAGTTTGCAAAGTGTCATATGTGTGTTATCACATTTGATGGAAAGACTTGTAATAAATTTATGGAGAGTTAAGTGAGCAGAAGCAGGAAAACAATTTATACAATCCACTGTAAAGATAAAAAACTGTTGAAAGACTTAAGAACCCTGATCAAAAACAATGACCAACAGCAATTCCAGAGGCCTGATCATTTGGCCTAAATAGGAGAACTTGATAGACTCAAGATGTAGGATGAGAGTTGACATTTTCAGACAGGACCAATGTGTGGATTTGTTTTGCTTGACTATGCTTATTTGTAACTAGTTTTTTGTTGTTTGTTGTTGTTGTTGTTTTTAAATTTCAAGGAGAATTAAGAGGTGTGGAAAGACTAGTAATAAAGAGTTTTGGGGGGTTTTTTGGCAAGACAATCGAGGTTAAGTGACTTGCCCAAGGTCACACAGCTAATGAATATCATGTGTCTACGGTTGGATTTGAACTCAGGTCCTCCCAACTCCAGGGCCAGTACGCTATGCACTGCTCCATCTAGCTGCCTCTCTGAGAGATTAAAAAAAAAAGAAGAAGAAGAAGAAGAAGAAACGGTCATTGAAGCAGTTTTTTTAATGCACAGAATATGAATGGTCAAAGGATATGAACAGGCAGTTTTCAAAGAAAGTCAAGTCAAATCAACAAGCATTTGTAGAGGGTCAACTATATGCCAGATGCTGTGCTAGGCCTGGGAATATAAAATGGGATCTACTACATGCCAGGGGCAATGCTAAACAATTGACAAATGTTATCTCCTATCAGTCCATGCTCTCAAGGAGCTCACAGTCTAATAGGGGAGACAACTGTGCAAACAACTATGTACAAACATGCTACATACAGGATAAATGGGATGTAATCACAGAGGGAGAGTAGTAGAATTAAGGGGGATCAGGAGAGGCTTCTTGTAGAAGGTGGGTTTTTAGCTGAATCTTGAAAGAAGCCATCAATCAGGAGGTAGAAGATTATCTTGTCCAAGGAGCAGCAAGGAGGCCAGGCACGGATCTCATAGTACGTTGAAGATAATAAGGTATAAGATGACTGGAAGAGTAGGAAGGAGCCAGTTATGAAGAGCTTTAGAAACCAAACACATGATTTCATATTTGACCCTGGAGGTTATAAAGAGCCACTGGGGTTTATTGGATAGGGGAAGGGGGATAATGTGTGACATGGGGACCTGCACTATAGGAAGATCGATTTGACAGCTAAGTAGGGGATATACTGGGGGGGGGGGGGAGGATTTGAAGCAGGCAGACCAAGCAGAAGGCTGGCTATTATGACAGTAGTCCAAGAGTAAGGTGATGAAGGCATGTACCTAGGTGGTGGCAATGTCACAGTAAAGAAGGCAGCATAAAAGAAAAATGTTACAAGGTAAAATTGGAAGGAAAAAAGCAAAGCTATCAAGAGCCCTATGAAAGAAAATGCTCTAAATCAGTAGTAATTAGAGAAATGGAAATTATAGCAGCTCTTGGGTTCTACTTCACCCTCATCTGATTGGCAAAGAGGACAAAAAAAAATAGCAGTTATTGGAGAGACTGTGGGAAAACAGGCACATGAATGCACTTCTAATGAAGTTATTAATTAATTGGTCTAACATTCTGGAAAACTATTTGGAACTGTGACCTCCTCTCCCTCCCCCACCCCCGCCAAAAAATTACTAGACTGTGCATACCTTTTAACTCAGTGATATCACTTCTAGGTCTATATCCTAACGAGATCAAAGAAAGAGGAAAAGGACCCATATGTACAAAAACATAGTGCTTTTTGAGGTGTGAAAGAATGGAGGGCAGAGCCAAGATGGTGGAGAGAAGCCAGGAAGTTGTCTGAGTTCTCCCCAGTTTCCCTTGGAAACAATGTTAAATCAAGCCTCTAAAAGAATTCTGGAGTGACAGAATCCACAAAAAGATAGAGTGAAACAATTTTCCAGCCCAAAATAACTTAGAAGGACTTCAAGAAAGGTCTGTCTCACTTGGGTAAAGGGGGAGCAGAGACCAGGGAAGGCGGAGTCCAGGCAAGCCAGTGGGAGACTCTTAGCCACAGCACAGATCAGCAACTGAGGTCCCTTGGTCCTGGCCCAGCAGGCAAACTGCCAGCCCCAGAACCCAGGGCACAACAGGCGTGACTAGACCAGGTCACTGGCTCAGTGGGCAAGCCACCAGCCTCAGAGGTCCCAGCGCAGAAAGCTAGTGACCAGACCCCCTGACCGCCCCAGGGCAAGAAGCTTGGGGCAGTACCTCCTGAACCCCAGGAGCAGAGCTCAAATTTTAAAAATGAGCAAAAATTAAAAAAGAGCCCTGACCATAGAAAACTAGTACGGAGACAAGGAAATGTGAAAGAATTAGAATCTGAGAGGATGCCCATCAATTGGGGAATGACAACAAATTGTGGTGTATAAATGTGACTGAATACTATTGTGCTTTAAGAAAATGATGAAAGGGACGGTTTCAGAGAAGCCTAGAAATACATATGTTAAATGATGCAGAATAAAATGAGAAGAACCAGGGCAACAATTTATACAATAAAAACATTATAAAGACAAACAAATTTGAAAGACTTAAAAACTCTGATCAATGCAGTAACCAATTGTAATTCCAGAGGACCAATGATGAATTATGCTGCCCACTACTGACAGAAAAGTGATAGACTGAGGGTACAGAATGAGATATTTAGACATGGATTTTTTGGACAAAGCTATTGCTGAAATTTGTTTTGCTTGGCAATGTTTATTTATCAGGGGGTGTTTTGTTTTTGTTCTTTTCTTAAGAGGAGAGAGGGAAATGGGGGAGGAGGAGAATACATTTTGTTCATTGAGAAACATTAAATTTAATTGTAAAAATAAATGTACAAGAAAAACAGGAGTTCAGAAGGAGATATAATCAGGACAGCTTTGAAAGTAATGTATTGAATTTATCATATACATTTTTAAAAGGAAGCTATAATTAATAGAAATTAATGGCCTCATTTTCAATCCTCTCTATTATAGTTTGTATGTGGAAATGCTCATTTTTCTATTTAGTTCAGAATAAAAATAAATAAAAATACTGTAGTCTTAAGGAGAAGCCTGGGTCAGTGAGAAATTAAGTAACTTGCCCATAGTCGTATAACTAGGATATGTAAGAAGTGAGACTTGATAGAAATCCTTGGTCTACTCAAAGGCTAAAGGAGCTCTGACTATACACGGATAGCTAGGGTCTTTCTCTAAAGGAGGGGGGAAGAGCTGAAATTCTAAAGAAGCAAGAAGGAGAGCAAGGAGGGAAGTGGAAGGGAGGGGAGGGGAGGATGAAAGGAGCTCTGGCAGCGCCACCTTGGGAAGTGTATGCACTTCCATATGGAAGAGAAAGAAAAAGGAGTGAGACCCTCCTCCACCCCCCTAGCTCCCCATTCAAACAGCTTCAACTTCAATGCTTTGACTCCAGTATCAGGATTGGTGATCTGGGCTGCATGTAATCCAGAAAGAACAATGCAGAGTGTTGTAGAGACATACCCAGGAAATTCCTCCATCCATGTCCTGCCTCTTTCCTCTATCCTGTAGATCTCCCTCTCTCTCTCTCTCTCTCTCTCTCTCTCTCTCTCTCTCTCTCTCTCTCTCTCTCTCGTTGTTGTTCAATGGTGTTCAACTCTTCATGACCCCATGAACACTGTCCTTGGGATTTTCTTGGCAAAGATACTGGAGTTGTTTTGCCATTTTTTTCTCCAGTGTGTCCCCATTTTACAGATGAGGAACTGAGGCAAATAGGAGTTAAGTGACTTGCCCAGGGTCACATAGGTAGTAAGTATCTGATGCCTGATTTGAATTCAGATCTTCTTCCTGAGTCCAGGTCTGGTGCTCTATCCACAGCACCACCTACCTGCCTGTATTTGACAGAGAGAGAGAGAGAGAGAGAGAGAGAGAGAGAGAGAGAGAGAGAGAGAGAGAGAGAGAGAGAGAGAGAGAGAGAGAGAGATCTGCCTTGGGAGAGGGCAGGGGGCCGTGGATTGCAAAATATGGAAGTAAAGAGAGATATCGATTTTCATAACTGCTGGGGGCTTCATTTCCAGCCTGGGGGCTCAGAGCTAAAATGAAAAGATATTTTATTGAGTCATATTGTACAACTTCTCAAAGGAAGAGAAAGACTGGGGCAACTAGGTAGCACAGTGGATAAAGCACCAGTCCTGGAGTCAGGAGGACCTGAGTTCAAATCCAGCCTCAGATACTTGACACTTATTAGCAGTGTGACCCTGGGCAACTTATTTAACCCCATTGCCTAGCCCCGCCTCCCCCCCCCCAAAAAAAGAGAAAGACTAAGTCATTCCAGACCAAAAGAACCCAGGCATAAATGAACTTTGTGTAGGGATTAAGCCCTGCAGCAAAAGGACTGGAAGACAGTTGCTTAGGTTCCTTTGTTCTTTCCTGGCAGATTAAAGAAACTCATTCTCTCCACCTACCTACCCTGGGGCAGAACTAAAGACATTAGTAAAGGCATCCCTCCTGATCCTCATCCCTTCACTTTCTACCCCCAAACACTGCTACAAGCACATATACCTGCTATTAGAAAGTGTTCATCAAAAAATTGAGATTGGGAGTTGTCCAAATCTGTGACTTCATCCATGTAGGGAATCCCCTAGGATATTTCCTCTACCGAAGTAGATTAGTGATTGTTTTGCAACATATCGTCTTAATAGAGTTTTCTGGGGAACTGTGAGTTTTAAACAAATTTCCTTGACTTGAACTCAAGTGGCTGGCCCTTCTGTTCTCACTGCCTTCCTCTCATATGGAGGTATTGCTCAGGATAAATCTAGAGTCCCTAGACTCTTACTGTTCACCATCTAGTTTGTGTTGTAAGAGTGAGCTGCCTCTAAAATTTGGAGATTTAAGGTCCCCACTTTTGTTAGAAAGTCAAGTTGGCACCTACCTCACTTTGTGACTAGCATACCTTTATGTCTCTAGATGGACGGTTAATTCCACTGAAGCCCAGGATTAGGTTTGGTAGACATGAATCTCATGTGGCATGGAAGGATGTAGCAGGAATCACCTCCTACTGAAAGAAAGCAGAGAAAGGTTCATTGTGGAACATAGGACATAGGGATTTTCTTTCTGTTGCCTGGGAAACCACAGAGCAGCTAGCTCCTCATAAGGATGAAATGGAAGTATAGAGAGGAGGGAAGATGAGGGATCAGAAGGGGAAAAAAACAGATAGAAAGAAATCAAGGAATTATAGCATCTACTTTTCATTCAAAGCCTACTTCATAGGTCACCTTCTTGAAACCATGGTCAATCCCTCCCCAAACAAATGTGATCTCTTCCTACCACCAGGCCTGGCATTCACTGTGATACCTAGTTGCCCATAACAATTAATATTATTGTTCAGGGGTGACCCCATTTGGGGTTTTCTTGGTTAAGATTCTGGAGTTGTTTGCCATTTCCTTCTCCAGCTCATTTTACAAATGAGGAAACTGAGGCAATTAAGATTAAATTACTTGCCCAGGGTCGCACAGCCAGTGTCTGAGGCCAAATTTGAACTCAGATCTTCCTGATTCCAGGCCCAGCATTCTGTCCCCTGCACCACCTAGCCGCTCCGTAAGCACTTATTAAGTGTCTACTATGTGCCAGGCATACTAAGCACTGGAGATACAGAGTCAAAAGTAGAACAGTCCCTGCTCTCAAGGAGTTCACATTTTAATAGGTGAGATGACACATACATATATAGTATATGCAGAACAGATAAAAATAAATAAAAGATAATTTTGAGAGAGACAAATAAAAGTTAATTTTTATACTAGGTAGGAGCTAAGAGAGTCATAAAAAGCTTACCTAGAAGACAGAGCTTGAACTAAGTAGTTTTTTATTTTAATTTTTTTATTCTGAATTCAAACACCGATATAATTTCCATAATCATAACAGAACACACAAAAAAAATTCTGTATGAAATCTCCATGTAGGAATCTCCATACTACTTGCTCCTGTTTTTCAAAAGGATGACATAAATTCTACATGTTATTTGCAAAATTCTCCTTGTTTTTGCTTCCTTCTGAACTTCCTTCTGTTGTCTTCTGCGCATCTGTAAAAAAATGTTTCAGTGTCCTTGTTTTTGGTATCACCATTGATAATCCTCCTCTCTTCCCTCCCCTCACGTTGAAAACAGAAAGAAAGAAAAAAAAATCCTTGTAACAGGCATCATCAAGCAAAATGAATCCATACAGTAGCCGTATTGGAAAACGTATGTCTCTGCATCTTCTGTCCATCGCTTCTCTATCAAGAGGTGGGGAGCGAGCTTCATCATAGGTACTCTGAAGGCATAGTTGGTCATTGCATCAATCAGACTCAAATCTTTCAAAGTTGTTGTACTTTGGAATATTCCTGTCCTTGTATAAGTTATTCCATTCTCTCTGTTCTCAGTTCTTCACTCTAAAACAGTTCATACCGTCCAAAATCCTCTGAAATATAGTCTTTCCTCATTTCTTACAGCACAGTAACATTCTACCACAATAATATTCTGCAATTTATTCAAACCACCCCTAGTTGTTTAAGAGTCCAATCTCAGGCACCCCCACAGATTCTAGTTCTTTTTTTTCTCCCCTTTGATCCCACTTTCAGGCTTGAGAATCTTGTTTTGCTTGCTACTATTTCCTCACCGGAATTATTCTCCTTTTTAACATTCCCCCAACCCCATTTATTTCCCTGTTGAGTTTGGTATATTTCAACCCCAAACTCTGTATGGGTGTGGATGTGGATGTGTGTGTGTGTTCCATCCTTTTCTATTTCAGATAAGCATCAAGTTCCTCTGATTCCCACTCCCATTATCCCTTCCTCTATATTTATCTATTCTTCTTTTCATGTACTCCAAATTTGAGAAATAATAAGTTCCACCCCTTTCTTCCTCCTTTCCACACTAGTATATTTCTTTTACCATCCATTCTCTTTCCCCCAGGACAGAACAAAAATCCTCAGAACAGAACCAATCTGTCCACATCCACTCAAGACCTTTTTTTTTTTAAACTCCTTTAATGCCCTTTAAAGACCTTAAAAGTTCTGAAAGGCCACTTGTTTCTTCTCCCCCTGTTAGAATCTTGGCATTACATCACACAGCTCTTTCTATTGCCCAAATTAATCCACCTTTCTAGGTTCTCTGAATTGTTGTATTTGTATTTCAAAGTTCTTACTCAGCTCTGGTCTTTTCAGACCAGACATTCCTGTAAATACTCTATCACGTTAAAGATTCATTTTCCCCCCTGTAGAATTATGCTCGTCTTTGCAGGGTGAGTAATTCTTGATTGTAAGCCTATCTCTTTTGCATTTTGCAGTATCGTATTCCAGGATCTCTCCTTTTTAGTAGAAGCTGCCAAGTCTTGTGTGATCCTGACTGTAGTCCCTTGGTACTCTTGACCTGCTTCTTTTCTGATTGTTTGCAGTATTTTTTTTCTCTTTCACGTCAAAGCTCTAGATTTTGGCTATGACATTCCAGAGACTTTTCTTTTGGGGGATTCCTTTCAGGAGGTGATTGGTGGATTCTTTCTGTCTTTACATTAGATTGTAAGCTTGAGTTCAGAGATTGTCTTTTGCCTCTTTTTGTGTCCTCAGTGCTTAGCACAGTGCCTGGCTCACGGTAAGTACTTAATTAATGCTTATTGACTGACTGACTGACTGATTGTAATAAATCCAGGAAGTTTTCATTTATGGTTTCTTGAAATATGGTGTCCAGGTTATTTATCTGTTTGTTTTAAATAGTGAGTTTTAGGGAGTCCAATGATTCTTAAATTATTTCTCCTTGATCTGTTTTCCAAGTCAGTTGTTTTTAAGACTAAATATCATTGTCTTTTATCATTTCAATCCTTTGATTATAATCTGTAGTCTCTTGCTGTCTCATGGAGTTGTTGATTTTTTTTTGCTTGGTCTATTCAAGTTTTCAAAGTCCTTTTCTTGGGTAAGATCTACCATGTTCTCTGCTAAGCCATTCATTCTCTTTCCAGTTTTTTCCTCCAAAACGTTTATTTCACTTTTTTCTTTTGTTTCATTTCTTCTGGGTGTTCATGTGGTACTTATGAAAAAAATTCTTTTTTTTTTCATTTGAGACACTGCTTGCATTTGTCACAGAGTTATTCTCTCTTTTGGAGGGAATCTCTAGATTTGCAATAGTTGTTGATATTGGTCAATGTTTTCTTTGGTATACTTGTTTCTCAGCTTTAGTTCCTGAACTGGGCCTTGTGCCAAAGTCAGGCTCTTATCTCTTCTGTGCTTTTGCATGGAATGATTGGCCCTGATTGGTCTCACTCTAGGTGTCCTGATTCTTTCTCTGATCTCTCCTTCCTGGATTTAGCCACTCCATGGATCTCAGATGTTCAGAACGTTGGGTTTTAAGGGACCTCTCTGGTGTCTTAGGACAGAGTGCTAGTGAAATCAAAGCCCTGCAGTGTCCAGGTCTGAGTGCTACTGCCTTGGTCATTACTGCCATTCTCTGTGCAATACAGAAGTACCCACCCTGAGAATTTCTGCCTACCCCGGTGCTTTCTGACTACACTGGTGATTTTGCAGGGGGAATCCTCTTTTGAATTGAATCTTAGGGGAAACCAGGGATTCCAAGAGGCAAAATTGAGGAGGGAGTACATTCCAGATTTCGGAGACAGTTAGTGTAAAGACCCAGATTCTGAAATAGAGATTAGACCAATATAGCTGGACCAGGTAGTGTGTGGAGGGTACTAATATGTAAGAATAGAATGGTAGGAAGGGACCAGGTTGGGAAGAGTTTTAAATGTCCAACAGAGGAGTTTACATTTGATCCAAGAGGTAATAAAGACTTACAGAAGTTAATTGAATAGGGGAATGATATGGTCAAACCTATGCTTTGGTAAAGTCATTTCAAAATGGCAACTCTACGGAGCTAAATCAAGTCAACAAGTATTTAGTAAATACCTACTACATGCTAACCTCTAGATGATCCAAAGCAGGGGTGGGGGACTTGTGGCCTCGAGGCCACATGTGGCCCTCTAGGTCCTCAAATGCAGCCCTGTGAAGTCAAAGGGCTGCACTCGAGAACCTAGAGAGCCATATATGACCTTGAGGCCACAGGTTCCCCACCCCTGATCCAAAGAAAGGCAAAGGGAAAAAAGTCCCTATTCTCAAGGAGCTCACAGTTTACCTGGGGAAAGCAACGTGCAAACAGCTACATACAAACAAGATATAGAGAGGATAAATTTGGATTTAATTGCAGAGGGAAGGTGCTAGCATTAAAGGGGATTAAGAAAGGTTTCTTGTAGAAGGTAGGATTTTAGCTGGCACTTGAATTGAAGCCAGGGAAGCCAGAAAGAGGAGATGAGGAGAGAATTCCAGTACAGGGAACAGCTAGTGAAAATGCCTGGTGCTGAGAGATGGAGTGTCTTATCCAAGGAACAGCAAGGCAGATAGCGGGACTGGATTTCAGAGTACATGGAAGGGAGTAAGTTATAAGAAGATTGGAAAGGTAAGAAGAGGCCGGGCTATGAAGGGCTATAAAAGCCAAATAGGATTTTATATTTGATCACAGAGGTAATAAGGAGCTTATTAAATGGGGCGGGAATGTGGGATGACATTTAGGAAGATCAATTGACATCTGGGCGAAGGCTAAACTAGAGTGGGGAAATCAAAGTGAGGAAATAAAGCAGGAAGCTCTTCCAAAATTACAATGGTGATATGACCATGGCCTGAACTGGAATGTTTGAATGGAGAGAAGACCTATGCAACAGTTGTGGAGATAGAGGCAAGATTTGGCAACTGCCTGTTTATGTGAAGTAAGATTGAGGAGTTGAGGATTACACCAAGGTTGTGAACTGGAAGGATGGTAATTCCCTCTACAGCCATAGGGAACTTCAGAAGAGGGGCAGGTTTAGGGAGAAAAATAATGAGTTCATTTTCTGTGGACATGTTGAGTTTGAAATATCTATGGGACATTTCAGTTCAAAATGTCTAATAAGAAGTCCATGATGCGGAGTGTGAGCTCAGGAGACAGAGCAGGGTTGGAAATATAGATCTAAGAGTCATCTGTAGTGAGTTAGTCAACAAGCATTTATTAAGCACTGTGTGCTACGCACTGTGCTAAGGTGGAGTGTACAAGCCAGGAATACAAAGATCAACAAAGGACAGACCTTGTTCTCAAAAAGCATACATTCTAATGGAGATAATAATTGAACCCATGGGAGTTGATGAGACCACCAAAGGATAGAGTAGAGGGAGAAGAGTGATGGGGACCCAGGACAGAACCTTGGGGTATACACATAGTGAACACGATTTGGATGATGATGCAGCAAAGGAGACTGAGAAGGAGAGTTAATTAAATGGGTAGGAGGAAAGACACAGAGAGAACAGTGTCATGAAAACCCCAGAGAAGAGAGAATATCCAGGAGAGGGCTGTCAACACTATCAAAAGCTGCAGAGACATTAAGAAGAGGCCATTTAGATTTAATAATGAAGAGATCATTGGTAATTTTGGAGAGAGTAGTTTTGGTTGAGGAATGAGCATAGAGCAGAGGGTCCCAAACTTATTTGCCCTACTGCCCCCTTTTTTAAAAAAAAAAAAAGATTACTCAGTGTCCCCCTGGAAATCTACCTTCTTTAACCCTTCAATGGTTTTTTTTTTAATTTGCACCATTTCCAAAAAAAATTAAATGTTTTTAAAATGATGCATCTTACATTTAATAATTTATTGTAAGTTTGGGAGTTTTTCCCTGCATTGAAATTTTGATGGCATAATGTTGTATCTTGTAATGATAGTATCGTATTGTAAACAAGTCATTACACACACATATTCCTGCTGATACATGCTGGACTTCCCAACAATATGTGATATGCTCGCCTGCCAACACTTGTTTGTTAAGACCTGCCAGCGGACTTGACCACTGATCTCTTATAACTTGCATTTTCTGTGTTTATTTGGAAAATAATGTAATCATTATGACTTTAACTCTGTTACACAACAGATGAAACATGTACGAACGGTTTTTCAAAATTTTCTTCTCTTCTTTCCTTATGCTTCCACTACCCCCTTATTTTTCTTCAGTGCCCCTCAATTGCACCTGAGGTGACTACTGCACCCTTTCTCCCCCATCATTCCAGCGCCCCCTAGGGAGTAATATTCCCCATTTTGGAAACCTGTGGTTTAGAAGATAGATTGCAGAGGATTTAGAAGAGAGTAAGAAGAAGTGGAGGTACTGAGTGTAGATGGGCTTTCCAAGGAGTTTAACTCATAAGAGGAAGAGAAATATAGGATGGGGTATTGTTGGGCTCTAATGAAGGTTTTTTAAGTGTGGGAGATACTTATCTAGGCAACTAGGAAGGAACAAATGGATAGAAAAAGACTGAAGATTGGAGAGAGAGAGGAGGATGTTGCTGGAGGAAGTCTGTTGGAGAAGATAAGAAGAAATGAGATTAAGGGAACATGTAGAGGGTACTTGGTAAGGAGAGAAGGGCCACCTCTTCATCAGAGACTGTAGTAAAATAAGAAATAGTGAAGGATGAAGTCAAGTGTTGTGAGAGGAACAGGAGAGGTAAATAGAGAGCTCAGAATAACCGGTTTGTATTTTCTCAGAAAAGTATGAGGTTGTTGCTGCTGTTATCAGCCACCCTTCATTCTCAAAGAAGACCAATGATTATCATGAGGGCAATGATGAGGTAAAGACCTCAGCTAAGATGGTGGTTTGATGAGTTACTGTGGAAGTCTTGAGAAGAAAAGAGGTTTGCAGAAAGTGGAAAAGACAATTGAGTAGCAGACAGTAAAAGGATTACAAGTTTACAATGTGGGCCAAGTTGAAATTATGTAACACAAATTTGTAGTGGACCCAGTAATCATGGTTGAGTGATTTCCTATGCAAATGAAATGGAAAAACTTACTTATGTGCCTTGCAAGAGTCATCTTTCCTAAGCAATCGCAAGGATGGGATGGAAGAGCCCTTATATGAACCAGGTAAGAAAAATGGAAAATCCCCTAGTTTGACCCTATAGTATGCCTTTAGAGATATCTAAAATAGAATGAGCTGGTTTAGGCAAGCCATAAATGTATGGTTTGCATTCTGGCTCAGAGATGGTATCAAAAATCCCTAAAATCATTCCATTGACTCTGTATGCCTATAAGAGAAGGAAACTAAGAATTCACATCATGGTGCAATGGAATGGTAAATTTGGTCCAGGGGGCCTGGGTTTGCATCCTAACTGTGCTATCTGTGAAAGTTGGGCAAGTCACAACCTCTCTGGATCTCAGTTTCCTTATATATAAAATGAAAAAGTTAGGCAATCCTCAAGGTCCTTTCCAGCTCCAACTTTAGGATCCAGTAATTATAATAACTAATAAATACAGATTATCCCAAAAATCTTAGTACAGTTTTAAGCTTGAGTAGATTAAACTAGTGATTAAAAACTAAAGTTTTAGCTTAAAATAATAACTTAAACCAGTGACAAAGCTAAAGTTTCAAGCTTTACTAGCTTAAAAACTAAGTATTGAAAAAACAAATAAGACTTTTGGGATACCCTATATAGCACTTTAAAGTATATAAGACACTTTATATATATTATTCCATTAAAGCCTCATGACAGCCATGGAAGGTAGATATTGCAGATATTAGTATCCCCATTTTATACACAAAGTTCAAAGTGCCCACATTACTACTAAGTATCAAAGGCAGGAAAAATAAATTGTCAATTCCATGATTCAGTGAAAGCCCTCTGGATAGGAGGCCTGTTGCAGGATGCCAGCCACAAAGGCTGGGTTGCCAGTGTTCTCAAATTCCATTTCAGGATCCAAAAGCCATCTAGACTTATGAGAAGGTGGAGGAAGTAAGACAGCTTGTCTGTTCTATTTGCCTCAACGAGCTTTTCCCATGTATTAGGATGTGAATTACTAGCATTTGGAGATCCCAGCATCACACTACCTATTGACATAGAGCCAAACTTTGGAACTTTGCTGCTTAGGGCAATCAGGGACAAGGTCATTGTTGCTAGGGAGGTTTCCTATGAAGGAGATGTGTGTGTGTGTGTGTGTGTGTGTGTGTGTGTGTGTGTGTGTGTGTGTGTGTAGGACAAGGGAAGAATTCACACTGGCTGCCACCTGGTAGCTTCCTATTTTAATTAGCAAGAATTAGTTCTTCTTGCTCTCTAGGTGATAGTTCTGTTGTTTCTATAATGCTGAAAGCCTCTGAGTGGTGTCAGTTTCCTCTAAATTTGGGAATAAAGCCCTAGTTTCCCCGCCCTAATTGCAGCTCTGCCTAGAAAGACACTTCAGGCAGTTTCAGAAGAGTAAAGAAGACACCCACTTCACATCTGGCCCCCTCTCTGAGCAGCTGTCCCTCCCTGGCCCTAGCTATTTGATAGTGATAACCTCTGTTAATTATAGATTTACATGTGGGTCAGTGGATTCCAGCCCTGGAAGAAGCAGCAAGCAGAAGAAACTGAATCCTTTAGAGTCAAACTGGGGCAGGCTGCAAGAAGAAGAAGGATTTCACATTTCTTCATGTGTCAGTCATCTTGAGGACGCCATCTTTCTCCACCAAAACACAGAGTAAGTTGCAAGATTTCCTTTTTTTTTTTGTAGGATGGTGAGACTTAGAACAATGGAAGACAGACCCTACCCTTTTCTTTTGCAATTTTTGTAAAGTCAGGGTCTTCTATATCTCCTATCCTCTCTATAGAGTACTCCTCCTTTGGACTAGTAATAGTCCACAGCAAAGGCACTTAATAATTGTCTGTTGAGTGAAAGGAGAAAGACAATTTACATGAAGCACAAGGTGTTCCAGATAGTCTCAGTGTCATTTTAAACTATTAAAGCTTAAAACTATACTAAGACTTTTGGGACATCCTGTATATTTTTAAAATTAAGGTCAGTCAATTCTTAATTGTCCCTTCTGTTATAAGAACACAGTGGTACAGATAGTTCAAAACATTAGATAATCTACAAGTCCTTTTAATTGGTTTTGATGAATTCATTCTATGATTAATTGATTTAGCAGAAAAGTTGCCTTCCTAATTCTGTTTGATTCAGACTTTCAAATGAGTTTGTATTCACTGAGCATTCACCACTGAGCTGTAGGTAGGAGCATCACAGAACCATAGATAGTGAAAACGAACTTAAAAATAATTTAGTTCAATGGTTCTCTAACTTTTTGAGGTTGAAGACCTTCCCTCCCCCCCCACCTCCCCTGCTTTTAACATAAGCAGATTTCACAGACCTTCTCTGACATAGTGTCCTAGATTTAGAAATTGAACGGACGTGAAAGATCATCTAATTCAGACTCCCTCATTTTACAGATGAGAAAACTAAGTTCCAGGAGGGAACTTAATCCAAGATACACAAAGGGTAAGTAGATAAGCCAGCATTTGAAACAAGGCCTGCTGATTCTAAATCTAATGCTCTTTGGATTGAACTGCTCTGCCTCCCTACGTGATAATTATATTTTTAGTATCCCACTGATTGAGTAAATACATGATGACAAAAACTACTATGACATCAATTTTTTTAAAATGAATTCATATTTTGTTAATCACAACAGGAACTACATACATTAGAAAATTTTATATGTATATATAAATGTATATGCATATATATGCTTATATACATATGTGAACAACGAACAAGTTTAACCTCTAGAGACTGAATAATCTTTATATATATAATATACATAATATATATATATAAAATATATAATATGTATACTCTCTCTATATATATATGTAGAGAGAGATTATTCAGTCTCTAAAGGTTAAACTTGTTCATTAACGAGTTAACAAACTTACTAAACCACTTAATGAGATGAATGGTGAACATATAAATTTGCAGATTCCTTATTATTTATCCTTTGTTTCGAAGAGGACTAATGACCTCACAGGGTGATGTGTTGATTTATGTGTGAATTGGATTGAAGTGAGGCAGAGTTGCTCAAAGTAGTCAGCCTCACTCTCTCTTCCAGAGTCAGTGAAGTACAGTGAGAACTGGTGATGGCCTGAGATGCAGTGGATGACCATGGCATCTTCAATGTCTGACCAAGCTCCAAGTGCTCCATTGTACCTACTTCAGCTGCCTTCATAGCCATTGGAACAGCCTTGTAATAAGATTCCTTGTAATAATTTGTAAAATATTTCTTTTAACAACTCCAGTAACCCAAAGGTCCATAGCATATAGATTGGGAACTGTTTATCTTGTCCATCTGCTTCATTTTGCAGGTGACAAAACTGGGGGCCGAAAAGACCTGTGGATTTGCTCAAGGTTAGAAGTAAACAGACTGAAGTCCCCATCCCTGGAAAGCAATAGATGATCTCTAAGATCCTTTCTACCTCTAAAATTCTATGACTTAATGAATTACTTCTAGGAAAGGGGTAAATAACAATTTTTATTCCTTGTGTCTTCTGAGGAAGCTGGGGGAAAATAACACCGTCAGTATTTCCATCTTGGTACAGCCAAAGTTGTTGAGGAAACTGAAGCACAATGGGGAGGGTGGTTAAGGGAGTTGTTAAAATTTTTAAATGGAGCTAAAGTCAAGTATCCTCTCTCCCAAGCTATCCTGTTTTGGAAAAATATTTTATTTATGTCTTTTGTTTTCATATCACCTATATTCACTTCCCACTGTATCCTTCCTTCATCCTTTCCTAGAAAACTATTTATTATAATAAAGAATACAAAAGAAGGGAGAAAGTTTCAGCAAAACTAACCAACATATCAAAAATAGTCTGAAATTTTATTCAATATCCCATATTCATGCATAGTTCCTACCTCTGTAAAGAAACAGGGGTTGGTATCTTCTCGTATCGCTTCTTTGGGGCTACACTTAGTCATTTTAATTTCAGTGGTATTCAGTTTTGACTTCCCTTTATATTGCAATGATCATTATTTATATTGTTTTCCTGGCTCTGCTTACTTCACTCTGCCTCCATTTGTTTAAATCTTTCCATGCTTCTCTGTATTCATCATATTGGTCTTTTCTCATAGCAGAGTAATGTCCCATTACATTCATGTACCACAATTTGTTTAGCCATTTCACAATCTATGGATATCTACTTTGTTTCCAGTTCTTTACTACTACAAAAATGGGTGCTGTAAATATTTTGGTGTCTATGAAGCCTTTCTTTTTGTTATTAATATCTTTGGGGGTGTATGTCTAATAGTGGACAAAGGGTATGGTTTCAGTGAGTCTCTTCAAATAATCCCAAATTGTTTCCAGAGTAACTGTAGTTAGTTGTAACTAATTCAGAGTTCCACCAATGACAAATTAGTGTATCTATCTCTCAATAATCCCTCTAACATTAACTTATTCCCATATTTTTGCATCTTTTACAATTTCCTTCATGTGAGGTGAAACCCCGGGGTTATTTTGAATTGTATTTCCATTTTTATTAGTGATTTAGAGACTTCTTTCATATTCTTGTTAATAATTTGCAATTGTTCTTTTGAAAAGTGATCGTATCCTCTGACTACATTTATTATGAGATGGCTTTTGGTTGCGTATTTCTGTTAGTTGTTCATGTGTTTTGAATATGAGACTGTTAGCAGAGATATTTGATACAAATATTTTTTTCAGTTGACTACTTCCCTTATTATCCCAGTTGCATTAATTTTGTTCATGCAAAAGCACTTCAGCTTCATGTAATTGAAGTTGTCTATTTTGGTTTTTGTAATTGTCTCTATCCTTTATTTAGTTAAGAATTTACTGCACAGGATGCCCATTAACTGGGGAATGGCCAACAAGTTGTGGTATATGATTGCGATGGAATACTGTTGTGCTATAAGAAATGATGAACAGGCTGACTTCACAAAGATGAGTCTTCCTGACTCTAGGCCTAGCACTGTAGCCATTGTGCCACCTAGCTGTCCTGGGTCACAGAGCTAGTGTCTAAAGGATGGATTGAAACTTAGGTCTTCCTGACTATAGGCCCCAGCACTCCATCTACTACACCACCTAGCTACCTCCAAAATCAAATTAAACTTTAACACACACACACACACACACACACACACACACACACACACACACTAAAAGAGCTTTAGCTGTTTTGTTTTTGATAGGATTAATTATATTAATTATTTTCATTCCTAATATAAAATCCAGCTTGATTATACTAAAATTTTTTGGATAAATTGCTATAGTCTTTTTTGCTGGGATTTTACTTAAAATTTTGGCATCAGTGTTCACTAATGATACTGGTCTTAATTCTCTTTCTTTCCTTTGTCATTCCCCAATTTAGGTAGTAGAACTGTATTTGTCTTGCAAAAAATTTGGTAGTGTGCTTCATTTCTCAACTTTTGGGGAATAATTTGCATAATATACATTTTGATCTGTAAGTTCTCATGAGTTTTCATCTTATCTCAATTACATGAGGTCATTTGTTCTAGCTATACAGTTAGTTCTCTGTCCCCTAAAGTAGTGGTCTTCAAAATGGGCACTGAGATACTTTTGGCTCAACCCCCAGGGGGTCTGTGATCAACCAGCTAAAACTCACTTTCTCTATAATAGTCAATCATGGGCTGGTCTCCAACAGACCACCATATCCTCATCCCCCAAAACGCTCCCACTCTGTTCCTTCCCTCCAGCCCCTGATGTTGGCCCCAAAGGACTGTTATAATCCAACTGCTATTTGGATAACCACAAGCTACTGAGTGCACAGGTACCATTAGGAAGATTCTCCACCATACTTTTCCTCCCTGTGCCCCCCAGCATACTGACCTCCTGTCCCTCAGTTCAGCTTGTGGCTGTGGCAGGCAACCTTCAGAGGATGAGCTGTGCCTCTAGATCAGCTCCTTCTCTAACTGAGAGCTCAGCCTTCCTTTTTATTTTGAGTGGCACAGAGTAAATTGCATCAGATGAGCAGGTATGAATGGGCTACAACATGTATCATAGACCTTATTCCTCGCCCCTCCCCCCTTCCCTAAATCTGCCCATCTTCCGAACTTTCTTATTTCTGTCCAAGGCACTACTTTCCTTCAAGTCACCCAGCTTCTCATCTTCTGTGAACATTTGGTCTTCAATTCCTCATTTCCCCTCACCTCCCATATCCAAATAGTTCCAAATCTTGTCATTTCTACCTCTACAACATTTCCTTCATGCATCTTTCTCTCTGCTCACATAGCCACCACCCTCATTCCACCCTGATAGGTTTTCTCATCATCTACCTCCTTCCCCATCACCTGGACTGTTGCAACAGCCTTCTAATTGTTTCCCCTACTTCAATTCTTTCTTTCACCAATCTGCCCTCCACAAAGTGATTTTTCCTTAAGTTCAGGCATTTTACCTCACCAATTCAATAAACTCCAGGGGCTTCTTATTGACTTCAGGTTCAGATATCGTTTTATCTTTTTCCCATCCTTTTAAATTTCTGTCTTTGTATAAGTTTCATAATGTACACAATTATTTTCACAGTAGCACATGTATATAATTTGTAAATAAATAAGTATACAGATATTGGGAGTGTGTGCTCAAAAGTTTTTACCAACAGGGGTGAAAGTTCAAAAAATTTAAAGACCACTGCCCTGAAGCAAGGATTTTTAACCTTTTTTGTGGGTTATGAACCCCTTCATCAGTCTGGTAAAGCCTATGGGACCCCTTCTCTGCATAATATTTTCAGATGCATGAAATGAAATACATAAGACTGTAATGGAAACCAATTATATTGAAAGGGTTATCATAATTTTTTAAATTAAAGACCTCAGTTTACAAAACCCTACAAAAGGACTGACTAGCTCCATGATGCAATGGGAATAGGAATGAGAATAGGAATGAGTGTTCTGCCACCTACAGGTACTTTGGGGCACTGCAATGGTTGGTATCCTTTGTTTTTGCTCTGTAACCTCCATCCAATTTTGTAGTGACAATGTCATATTTTAAAATAGCATTTTGCCATTTACAAAGGCTTTCCTCCAAATATCCCTATGGGTTAAATAGTCAAGGTTTAACTATCTCAAAGTTTTAATATCCCTGTGAGACTTGGTATCTCACAGTGAGTATAGAATTGCACAATTGCAGCACTGAGCTGGATGAAACCTTGGGGATTATATAATGTAATGTGCCTATTTTACAGATAAGAAAAGTAAAGTCCAGGATGAGTTAGAGTCACACAGGTAATAAGCCAAATATTCAAAGCTTGACCCTCCAACTCGAAATCTAGTCCTTCTTTCTCCAACACCATACCTCTTTTCTCAGATCATCATAACTGGAAGCAACCTTCCAATAATTCCAGTTACAACTGCTCCATATTCTAGTAGGAACTCTGTGTTCTTGGGAAGTTCTGGCTTAACTGAGTTTCACACCAACATTTTTGATAACTCATTTTTCCTCCACAGCCTTTCTGTGTTTTATGAAGCAGTAAAGAGCATGTGCTTCCACCATTCCTCTTTCACAAGATTTTGCAAATGAATTTTTGTTCTAAACTCACATTACATTGGCTGTAAAGTCTCTTCACTTTACAAGTTCAAGAATTTGCTGGATAAAGTAGTTTTTAGGTTCTTTGGCCTCCATGTTGTTTTGTTAAACTTCCACAAGAAAGGATGATGGCACATAATGATTTCTTTTCCTTGTTCCATTTCCCATTTTTCAGTATCAGTAACTTATTTGAATAGCTCATGCTGGAGCTGTTTTATTTACACACTATTTATTTTTATCTTCATCCTTTCTTTTAATTTGGTGTTGGTATCTTTGCTCTAACAAGTCAGTGGTCTGATTACACATCTGATTCAGAAATAGCCCCCATATTAGTAACAAGTCATTTCAAATCTGTGAAGACAGTTTCTTTTTTTTTTTTTGTATGTGATGTTATTGAATGCTTATCACACCCAGAGCCTTCCAGCTTTCTTCATGGAAAAGGGTATTCATGATATCTAGGTATAAGATTTCTGTTTAGCCTTTGGCCTCTCATTTCTTAATCCTGAACCTTATTTTCCTTGACCCTTCTTAAACCCTCCTTTGAATTGAAGTCACTGATAATTAAGGAATGCCTTACTTTGGAGTTCTTATTAAATTCTTTCTAAACATTTTCTTTCTCAGAGTTTATCCATATGTACATAAATATTTATAGCAATTCTTTTTGCAGTGTCAAAGAATTAGAAACTGAAGGGATGCCCATTAATTGGGGAATGGCTAAACAAGGTATGGTATATACATATAGTAGAATACTATTATGTTATAAGAAATGATGAAGGGAGGGGCAGCTAGGTGGCTCAGTGGATACAGCACTGGCCCTGAAGTCAGGAGGACCTGAGTTCAGATCAGGCCTGAGACCAAACACTTGACACTAGCTGTGTGACTCTGGGCAAGTCACTTAACCCCAACTGTCAAAAAAAAGAAAGAAAGAGAGAGAGAGAAAAAGAGAGAGAGAGAGAGAGAGAGAGAGAGAGAGAGAGAGAGAGAGAGAGAGAGAGAGAGAGAAAGAAAGAAAGAAAGAAAGAAAGAAAGAAAGAAAGAAAGAAAGAAAGAAAGAAAGAAAGAAAGAAAGAAAGAAAGAAATCATGAAGGGGATGGTTCAGAGAACCCTGGGAAGACTTGTGTTATCTGATGAAGTGAAGTGAGAAGAAACAGGAGAATAATTTATACAATAACAGCAATGTTGTAAAAAAAAATAATAATCAACTGTGAAAGACTTAGTAACTCTGATTATGACAATAACCAATCACAATTCTAAAGGACTCAGAGTGCAAGCTGAAGCATATATTTTCCCTTTCTTTCTTTCTTTCTCTCTCTTTCTTTCTTCCTTCTTTCTTTCCCTCCTTCCTTCTTTCCTTCCCTCCCTCCCTCCTTCTTTCCTTCCTTTCTTTCTTCCTTTCTTTCCTTTTCTCTCTCTTTCTCTCCCTCTCTCTGGCTAAATGCATTTATTTTGCATGACTACACATATTTGTAATGAATCTTGTTTTTCTTGCCTTCTCAATGGATGGAGAAGTGGATGGAGGGAGATAATTCAGAATTGAAAATAAAATAATTGAATATAATTTTTCTTTCTGTTTTCCTCTTTAACAGATGTCACATAAGCCATAGTTATCTTTGTGATGACATTTCTGCTTATGTTCATCTTGAACACATCAAGGCGAAAACACAAAATTTCCCACAAAATGATGTTTCTTCGATTTGTAACTATGCCCAAAAGGTCTTAAACTGCATATATCCTTTGACCCAGAAATACCACTACTAGGTCAGTGTCAAAGAAGAAGGGAAAGGACCCCTAGGTAAGAAATACTTATACCAGTTCTTTTTGTGATGGCAAAGAATTGGAGACTGAGGAGATGCTCATCACTTGGGAAATGGCTGAACATGTTGTGGCACGGGATTGTGATAGAGTACTATTGTACTATAAGAAATGATGAGAGGGATGGGTTCAGAAAAACCTAGGAAGACTCACAAGAGCTGTTGCAAAGTGAAGTGAGCAGAACCAGGAGAAAATTGTGTATAGTAACAGCAATATCGTAATGATGATGATCAACTGTGAAAGACTTAGCTATTCTAATCAATACAATAATACAAGACAATTCTAAAGAACTCATAATGAAAATGCTATCCACCTCAGAGACAGCATATTTTTTCACTTTATCTTGCTTTTTTTTTTTGGCAACATGGCTAATATAGAAATGTGTTTTGTTTGATTTTACAATGGATATCATGATTATTGCTTGCCTTCTCAAATGAATGAAAGGGGGCTGGAGAAAGGGAGAGAATTTGGATCTCAAAATTTAAAAAAAGAATGTTAAAAAAAAGAAATGATGTTTCTTGTTGCCTTTGGGTACATCATAAAACCAATTTCTTTGTTTGCCTCTCCAAAGAAAATTTGTTAGCTGTCCCTCCATTTAGCTGCAACTCCTTTTCTTCTGCTGGTTTTGGGTTCCCAATGTATTTTTTGAGGGACAGTTGTCCTTGAGGGTAGAAGTTTTTGTAATTCCATCACATGCACACAGTAAGAGCCTAATAAATGTCTATTTAATTGAATTGAACTGAACTGCTAGATAAGTAAACTTGAGTACCACTAAGTCTGTGCTGGGTAGTATTGTTTTAGTCACATTGCTGATTACATTTACTCTTGAATGTTATTTCTGAATATATATGTGTATGTATATTGTATATATATACACATATAAAATGTGTACATATGTGTACATAATCTTTTCCCCTTATAAATAAACCCTTTGAAATTAATTATTTAACTATATAATATTATATGATTATATAATATATAGTTATATAATATAATTCTATAAAATAATATATAATTATATAATAAATTAATACTTTATATTTAACTGTTATAAATGAGATCATATGTAAAGTGTTTTGAAAACCTTAAAACATTATATAAGTACTAGCAGTTATGATCTATTATATATATTGTATATATTTATATATATATATAATATTTATTCTGTGTATACTTATATATTTACATGCCTTCCCTGATAGAATGTAAGCTCTTGAAGGTCTGAGATTATTTTATTCTTTGTCTTTGTATCTCTAGCACCTAGCACAGTGCCTGGGACATAGTAGGGATTTGATAACTGCTTGTTGATGGATCCATTGAACAATCTGTTGGCTGAGGGGAAGAAGGGAAAAAAGGTGCCAGGATGTCCAGGGAAAGAATAGGTGCAGAAATGATCCAGGATCTAGTGATTGACTGGATGCTTTATTAGTGATTAAGGTACAGAAGATCCCCAACTTGAGGGACCCAGAAAGTCACAGATTCCAGAGCTCAAATAGGAGTTTAGAGATAACAGAATCTTAGAATTAGAACAGACCTTGTCTCATCCTTCTCCCATGCCCTTCAAGTAATTTAAGACAACTTCTCCTCCATTCCTGCCTCCTTCAAAGTCTCTTTCTCTTCTCCAGGATGAAGATATCTCACTTCTTCAATTTATCCTCATATGATACCATCTCGATCAACCTCCTCCTCATCCACTTTCCTCTTTCCAGCCTGTCAGAGGTCTCTAGCCAAATTTGTAACTGAGTAGAAATCTCTTCTACTTTTCCAACAAGGAGTCAGCCAGCTTTCTCTTAAAAATTGCCAGTGATAGGGAAACTACTAAAGCTCTAGCTGTTAGGATTTTTTCCCCCCTTTTGGTAGAACTAAAACCCTTAGTCTCTGATCCTTTCACCTGTTGCTTTACTCCTAGTTCTGCACTTTCAGACAAATCAGAACAAATCCTAATCATTCTTCCATGTGAAAGTCGTTAAAATACTTGAAGACAACTGTCTTGTTCCAATCCAATCCAATAAACTTTTATTAAACACCTACTATGTGCCAGGCATTGTGTTAAGAGGTGGGGATACAGTTAATAAAAAGAAAGACAATCCCTGCCCTGAAGGAGCTTACTCTCTAAAATGGGAGACAACACGCAAAAGGAGGCAGAAAAGTGGAAGGGGGAGGACAGGACACAAGGAGTACCAGGCTTCAGTAGAGTTGAAACCAGGCAGGGCAGCAGACAGACAGTAGAGCGAGCTGAGAGTCCATTTGCTGCCTTCTATGACAGAAGGCATTGGGAGGAGTTTGGTACTCCACCCTCCAGTCCTCCAAGCAGAGGCTAAGAGAAGTTGTGTCAATCAGGGCTGAAGTTGGCAGCATGGTGGTGAGCTTAGAAGAGATGAGTTTATCCTGGGACAGGCATCTTGCTCTGTGGAATTGAAACCAGGCAGGGGAGCAGATGCAAAGTGGAATGAGAAATCTTGTCTTCCTCCTGAGTACTCTCTTCTCTGGGATAAAAATCCAGATCCTTTAACTAATCTCAGTATGACATGGTCTCTAGTTCTCTCACCATCCTGGTCACCCTGATATACATATGGTCTGCCTTGTTGTTCAGTCATTTGTCGGTCACGTCCAACTCTTCTTGACCCTATTTGGGGTTTTCTTGGCAGAGAGATGCTGGAATGGTTTGCCATTTCCTCCTCCAGCGCATTTTACAGATGAAGAAAGTGAGGCAAACGGGGTTAAGTGACTTGCTCAGGGTCACACAGTTAGTAAGTATATGAGTGGTCTAACTTGCCAATGTCAATTTCCCATCCATTTGCAAAGGCCTAGCATGTACTCTATCTTCCTCTCTGTTTCTTAGAATCCTTCTCTTCATTCAAAGCTTGGCTCAAATTCTACCTCTGATGGCCGTGCTCCCCTCTTCAGACTACCTTGCCTTTGCTGCTCTATGTACATGTCGTGTCTTCATACTCGCTGACCTCAGTAGAAGGAGGTAGGTCTCTGCTCCTTGAAGGTGAAGACTATTTCATTTTTGCCTTCATGTTCCCCATGCCCAACACAGCCCCTTGCATTTCATCAATATTTATTTTTTGTTGAACATTCCCAATGATTTATTTTTTAATTATAGTAGGAGGAGTCCTTAAGGCCAAAAGTCAGAGTTCTCCTGGGTCAGCTCTGATTCCCTAAGAAATGGAAATCTTCAGTAGGGCCCAGGTCTAGGACAGTCAACTCTAAGGCAATGGAGAACCATAAAAAGTCTTCAAGCAAGAGAGACTATGATATTCCATAGTGTCCACTCCCTAATACCTATAGAAAGGATGGGAGGCAGCGAGAGTTGATTGGACAGTCCCAGGAAATCCTATTCTTAATACTCAATTCCCAGTCACCTTATTTATTCAACAAATAATTCTAATATTTTTCAATAAATAATAATTATTGTTTTTTATTTTAAAAATTTATAGCTAGCACTTGTGTTGTTCTGTAGGGTTTATAAAGCACTTTATATTATCTCATTTCATCCTCACAACAACCCTATGGTGTAGGCATTATGATTACCCCCATTTTACAGATGAGGAAACTGAGGCACAGAGAGACATGAAGTTACTGGCCCAGCATCATACAGCCAGTAAGTATCTGAGGTAGGGTTGCAACCCAGGTCTTCCTGATTCCAAGTTTAGTCCTCTGTCTACCTTGCCATCTAGCCACCTGCTACATATGTACACAGTACATATGGTACAGAAATGTACAAGGCTGGGCTCCCTGCCCTGACTTACAGTGTAGTGAAACATACACACCTGCAGACACACACACACAGTGACCTCAATCATAAGTTCTACTAAAGTCTTCCTTCAGCTTCATCGGGATGTAGAGGTGACCTTGGGGGGCTCAAAGGCTATTTTGCCTCAGTTTACCTATTTGTAAAATGAGGGATCTGGACTAGATGTCCTCTGAGGTTTCATCCAGCTCTAAATCTATGGTCCTATGGTCCAGTGACTATTAATTTTCCTTCTTCTCCTTTCAGATCCTAGGAAGAGAATGAAGATAACACACCTTGGAACAGTGTTTCCTTATACCTTCCACTATATCAGGAGGTTTCCTCGTTCTCCCTTGGCAGATGTTTTGATGGAGAAGCATATGAACATTTGGCCAACAATCGCCATGCTCTCCCCACCTCTTCCCTGGGCATAGACACCTTATCCTTGAGCCTTGCTATTGCTATGCTATGAATGTGTCCGGCAGAGGGCACTCTTGTCTCATAATGGAGACTCCATTTGATTTTTTTTTTTTTCCCCCCTCCACTGGCCTCTTGTCTGGGCTGGGGTCTCCCTAGAGAGAGGGAGGGAAAGATGAAGTTGCAGGAGGCTCAGTTTCCTCAGCCCAAAACTGAGAGGCCTCACCCCCCAGGGTATTGGAAGTCTGAGTTTCCCAAAGACCCAGGATTTGGGTGGGGAAGGAAGGAGAAAGAAGGCAACACCAGGCTGGATGAGGGGGGAAAACGATTCAGGTGGAAGTGGTCTTCAGGAAAGTGGGATAGATCCAATCTCTTTGCCTGCAAACATTCAACAAAACCCTTTCCTGCCACCTTGTCTCTTTCTTCTGAAATTTTCCCTAATCTTCAAGGTCCATCTAAACTAGAAGAATCTCAGGGTCAGAAGGGCCTCAAATGTAGCTAGAATTTATATAACACTTTATTGTAAATCACTATACAAATATCTCATTTTATCCTCAAATCAATACTGAGAGGTAGCTGCTATAATTATCCTCATTTTACAGATGGGGAAACTGAGGTACACAGGTTAAATGACATGCCCAGGGTCACACAGCTAATAATTGTCCTGAGGCCTGATTTGACCGTAAAGACCAGCACTCTATCAACTGCACCACCTAGCTAGCTCATAAGTGGTTATTAAGCCTTCACTTCAGT